CTGCTGGAGGCAGTGGCCTCCGACTCCCGGGTTCTGCTTCTGCCCGTCTCCACCACCTCTCCACGGCCTCCCCATGGAGTCCTGGCGCCCTCACCTACCTGTTGGGGGAGCCAGGCCCTTAGCTGTCTCAGGGGCACCTGGATTCAGCAGGTCCCATAGTTGCTCAACGGAAAGGGAGTCGCCCTCAGTACTCCCACCAGAGGGGCGGTCACCCCCACGCATTCTACCCCAGGAACATTTTCCTTCGGGCCTCTGCCCAGCTCAGGGTATCCGGTCCCTTCTGCACGATAAGCCATGAACCCAGGGCTAGCCCAGTGCCTGGCACACTCAGTCCCCACAGGCCAAGGGGCTGGGATGAGAGGGCCAAGGTGGCTGACGAGTACGAAGGTGCAGAAACCAGGTGATACGTCTCCACCCCAGCAACAAGCACAGTGAATATGGGGGCCTCTGAGATGCAGACACCCAGTACCTCTCTGAGAAGGATGGGGTGCCGGCTGGAGCACTGCCCTCTCGGTGCTGAGCCAGGCCCTGCTTCCGACGTGGACCTGTGGACGTGGGCAGGTGGACTTCCAGGCCACTGGGGCTCCTCACAGCTGCTGCTGCTGCCACCTCCTGCCGGACCCTCAGGAGGTCTGGGGAGGGGCGACAACAGCAGTGACCCAGAGGGCCCTGGGCTCTCACCCTCCTGCCCGGGCCAGCACAGGGCACTGGCCAAGGACACCAAGACCAGAACCAGTGAGAGCACGTCCTCACACTGACCCACAAAGGCCGTAGGGCAAGGGAGACAGATCATTACAGCGCAACAGCCTAACCCTAGAGGATGCTGGGGTGGGAGTGGGAGGCACCCACCTGTCCTGGGAGGGGGCCCAGGAAAGCATTTGGAAGGGACATGGGGATGTTAGTAACCAAACTGCAGTAGGAGGGATGGGAGGAGGGAGGCGAAAACCCAGCAGGCATGGAGGGTGGGGGTGCATGAGTGCTGTTGATACGGACAGTTCCGAGAGCATGGAGACCCAGGCTGCAGGAGCCTTGAGGGGAGGGGGGTGCACTGCCCGAGGCGGGGGGCGCGGGCTGGCTCTCGGAGGGCAGTGTGGTCTCCAACGCAAGGCTGAGGCTG